ACATGTCAGAAGGTCACCGAGTACGCTTTGCAAAAAAATGAAACTCATAGGTCAAGCCAAACTCCATTGGACCAATATTGAAAAAAAAATCAACGTTGAGGTCAAACTCCAATAGAATATCAGGATGAAATGAAAGAAAAACTAAAAGAAAATTATATGCCTATATCCTACCAAGAACATTTGATGGATCAACTCCGAACCTTACATCTAAACAATGTCTATAGATGAATATAGTAATAAATTTGCTGAATTGATAGTTAGATGTGACATTCGAAAGACTACTCGTCAAACTATCTCACGATTTCGCACTAGACTAAAGCTTAAAATTAGGAAAGAGTTAATCCCACATATTATAAACTCTTTGGAATATGCATATAATATGATATTGGAGTATGAACATTATCTTAAGGTTTATGTCCCTAGGAGGTTCAGTTTTCAAGTCCGGGAGTTTGCCACACACAAGGTCAGTAAAAATGATGAGTCTTCTAAAATTTCCAACACTGCCTCCACTCAAAATCGATTTAGTGATCCAACCATTAGATGTCCCCAAGACAACAAAGGAAAGATTGTTACTGAAACTTTAAAACAAAGCAACAACTCAGCTTGTTGCTTTAATTGCCACAAGACAAGAACACTCTGCACATCAATGCCCATCGAGAGCCCTTCACATAGGAAATGATCTTAAAAATAATGAAATACTTGAAAATGAATTAGCTCACATCCCTAAAGAAGTTGCTAGTGATGAAGACCGATTAGCTAATGAAAATGACGATGCAACCCTTACTGTCATGAGAAGTATCTTAACCACACCCAAGGCAGAGGAGACGAACCAATATTTTTTATACCTATATTAAAGTGGGTGACAAGAGTTGTAAGGTAATCATTGATGGAGGTAGTAGTGTAAATGTTGTCTCCATAGGAGCCCTCGAAAGAATAAAACTGAAACCTGAAACACACCCTCAACCCTATAAGTAGCATGGGTAAATAAAGTCACTATCCTTATTAACCAATGTTGTCTAGTTCCTATTAAGTTTGCAACTTATCATAGACAAGTTTGGTGTGACGTCCTTCTAATGGAAGTTGCACATATCCTTTTAGGACGACCATGGCTCTTTGACGTTGATGTGACCTGTTTTTGATTCACCAACATTTATGCGCTTAAACATGAGGGAAAGAAGATTATATTAAACCAAAGTAAGCCAACTAAGGCTAATAAAATTTCACAGATGCCACAAGAGGATAAACCCCTTCATTTGTAAAACAAAAATCTTTTAAACATGAAAGCCAATAAGAGGCAATAATTTATGCCCTTATGACTAGGGAAGTACAAAGATCATCACCTGAAGAATCCTAGGACCAACCCAAGGAAGTTGATAAGGTTCTTAAAGAATTTAAACATCTCACCCATGAGGAATTGCTTGAAAAATTGCCCCCTCCTAGAGACATTCAACATGCTATTGACTTACCCAAGGTCAACTCTTCTAAATTTGCCACATTATAGGATGAACCCCTTAGAACATATTGAACTAAAAAAATAAGTGGATGAACTCCTACAGAAAGGTTTTATTAGAGAAAGTCAACTCTTTGTGCAATTCCTACATTGCTTACACCTAAAAAGGAAGGTAGTTGGAGAATGCGTAGACAGTCGAGTCATCAATAAAATCATAATTAAGTATAGGTTTCTCATACCTAGGCTTGACGAGATGTTGGACATGATAGCGGGATTAAAGTACTTCTCCAAAATTGATCTGAGGAGTCGTTATCATCATATTGGTATAAGAGCTTTTGATTTAGCTAGATGTTCCACTATCATAGCGAATCAAAATTTCAATTGTTTGAACTCGGGACGAGTTCCTACGTAGCGGAAGCATATGATGAAAGAGTAATTTAGTTTATAAGTTATTTGAATAAATTTTATTAGTAAGATATATTTTGCATATTGTCACGGATTTAGCTGGTTTTGCCTAAGTCGTGCGGCACCCTTGCGTGTCCGTCCGCAAAGGTCAGCCTCCCCAAAGCCTCCTATGTCCCTTAGGACCCACAAAAGAGAACGGGTTAGAGAAAACGCCTCATTCGGGATCCACAAGCAAACATTTCCGAAAACACTTCATAGACAATGCAAATTACAAACAGACTTTACAAGCTCTGAACAGTTGCACAACAAAGGGTAAAATGGTCCACTACAGACCGAAAATCTCTCACAAGTGTCCACATGACACAACCTTTATTTATAAGCCTAAAACGGTCACCAAATCCAACTAAAATAGGACTATTAAACCTTCGGTTGTCCCTCTACACGCTAGGCAAAGTATAAACATACCAAAAGACACGGACATACATAAACATTACATCAAACATCCTGTTTAGAAGTTTGTCCATGATAATATGTCATAAGTTGTCAGATGACAACACATACTCAAGGAGGAGAAAAAGGAAACAAATGCAAAAAGTGCAAGAAATCAAATTCGTTATTGATTGAAGATTGTAAATCTTGATGAAAGATTTTAAAGATTCATCTCTATAAATATGGAAGTCTATCAATTAATAGTATTGTCAAACAAATGAAGGCTATCCTTCATATTAAGTCAAGAGTATTATCTTCTTCAAAGGAAGGAACAAATCGTATATTTGAATTGAAGCAATTGTAATTTTTCTTATTTCTATAATTTCCTTTTTATTGTTGTCCTTGAGCCTATAAAAAGGGGCTATAGCATTGCAATGCATGAACCAAAGATGATTCAATGAATCATGTTCTTTTCCTACCTTGTGTGTGAGTAGTGCGAGGCCACAGTTATGTTTCCGATGATATGATTCCATCATCCACAAGTCTGACGTGCGGCGATGCGAGACCTTCATCCTAGGAGTTCATTCCTTGAGCTAGAGCAAGTTTGGTAGTTATCTATTTTTTTTATTATTTTTCATTTATTATCTTTCTTTCTTCTCTTTCCATTACTCTATTATCAAAAGAAAATTTTGCTCGTCCTACATCAGATTGGTATCAAAGTTTGCCTAGACAGATTGGTTAAAGTTCATCATACTGGTATCCATTTGTTTTCTTATTATCTTTCAGTTGCTATCTTCTATTCCTCTCTTTTATATTTCTCTAGTATCAAAAAAAACATTATGTTGCTCTCGTCCTACATCACAACATCTAATCAAGGCGAAGAAAAAGAAAACAAATACAGGAAAAGTGGAAGAAATCAAATTCATTATTAATTGAAGATTGCAAATCTTGATCGGAGATCTTAAATATTCATCTCTACAAAGGTAGAAGTCTATCAATTAATAATATCATCAAGAAAGGAAGGTTGTCCCTCAAATCAAGTCAAGAATATTATCTTCTTCAAAGGAAGAGACAAATTGTATATTTGTTTGATGTGATCATATTTTTTCTTTATTTTTTTATTTTTTTAGCTTTGTATTTGAGCCTATAAAAAAGGGCTTATTCATTGTAATAGATCAATGAATCGTGTTCTTTTCCCATCTTGTGTGTGAGTGGTGCGAAGCTACAATTATGCTTCCGATGGTATGATTCCATTGTCCACATGTGAGACGAGAGGTGCGAGGCCTTCATCCTGGGAGTTTGGTCCTTGAGCTCGAGCGAGTCTGATAGTTATCCTTTTCTTTATATTATCTTCCTGTTATTATCTTTTTTTTCTTTTCTCTCTCTCTACCTCTCTATCATTAAAAGGAAATCCATAAAGTAAAAAAATTTGCATAACTGGAAAATTATGGCTGCAGTGAGAGAGAAATCCATAAATATATAAAAAAGACAGATCTCATATGAAAGGTGTTCCCTTGCCAACCTGAATATGCCACACCCATTTGCCCATCATTCCATATTAAGTTTCCAAAATCAATAATTTCTAAATTAGTTGCCCTTCTCAACATTTCTTCCTAAATATTCTTTATGTAATGTCCATTTCTTAAGCTATGAGGTCTAAACAAAACTTTATCCAAGGTTATCCATCTCACTTTTCATGCACACTAGCATCACACAGAAAAAGTTCTCCCCACCTTCAAATACCAATTCCATTACCACAAACTTTTGGAGAATACCAGTATTGACATTCAACATGAAGGCCCACACAGCATTGCTGTCAATTCTAAGCTGGCCATTGCTTTAAGAAAGGAATCCAAGAACAAAGCCCTCCCTGCTTCCTCTGTGGAAGCAGTATGGGGATATCTTAGCACAACCAAGGTGGTCTGCAACAGCAACAATGACATTTCTGCCTTGGATTATTCAAGGATGTTGCCATAAATGGTTAAACGATAAAAAAATAAACTAAAATTGTCAAAGCTAAAAGCTTCATCTTGAAGGTTGAGCATACTAAAAAAACGAAATAGCTCTAAGGTGAGCTAATTCCTTTTAGAATTTGAATACACACCATAAAACTCTACCATCAACACTAATCATGAAGTCACTAAAATTAGTATCCCGACCAAAATTACTTCCTCTCAACGAAAGGACCAATTTTTCCATGGCACCTAACGAACAGCTATGGATCCAAATAAAATCCCAAAACTTCACCAAATTGACAGGCCTTTCCGATCAAAACCAGCTAAAAGAGCTTCCAACATAAATTAAAGAGAATCAACCACATCAGGACCCTTAGACGTAGAATTAAGAAGAAATATGAACTAGGACAACCCAAGCCGTAGATGCAAGACATAACTGGTCTGGGAACGACCCAGCGGAAGAATGAATACCTAGGTCGCAGTCGGCCGGGTTGAGTTCGACGCGAACTGGGTTGGCGCCGGGTTGGAGAGGCCTGGAAGGCGGCACCGGCCGGCTTCTTTTCGCGGCCGGTCCTTGGTCGGGCTCCGTCGACGGAAGGTGGTGCTTCGACGCCATGGGTAGAGCGGAGCGATGGACAGAGCAACGGCCTCCCATTATATATAGACTGCCAAGTCGGCTACTTCGGCAATTGGAAGTGGTTTAAATTAATGATTCTTGCGGACCATTCTAATTCTCGGACTTGGAGTAGGAGACGGGTGTTATGGATCCTGACCCGATCCGTGTACGATTGGAGATAGTTTAGCTTAATGATTCCCACAAAACATTCTAATTCTCGGACTTGGAGAAGGGGAACGGGCTCTACGGATCCTGATCCGATCCGTGTAACTAGGATCCGGAAGTTTCTTTTCGGATCCGATGAAGTCTGGATCCGCTTTAGTGTAAATCCACACACACATGCGAACAGTGGGGGCTCATAGGGTCTTCTCCGCGAGAACGCCGCATACTGGTGGCGCGCTCCCGCCTCTTCCCTCGCCTGCCCGCTTGCTGCTATATCCACGCTGGCCGGCGGCTTCTACGCTGAATCTGCCTCTCCTTCTCTTCTTCTGGCTTATCGGAAGAAGGTAGGCTAGAAGGTGACTGTACTTGCTAACCTGCCTTGGTTCTTTTGGATTTCTCGTTTCCATGGGGAGTTACCCCTATTTAGTGGAAGACCTGAGCTTTGGTTGATTTGCATGTTGATATCCAATTTTTTGGTCCGTTTTCTTGAGGTTCTTGTTTGCTTACTAATTGATATGATTGATTTTTCGTTGATGCTTATCATTCTTGAATGTATTTGCAGATAATGTTCCTCGTTAGTTTTGGGCAATTCTTAGGCTTGATAATATCCCTTTCTTTTCTAAAGAAATATATTTACATGTGGCATATCTCCAATCTGTAGTCCATATCTGTTTTTCTCGTTGATTAAGACGAGATCGATCCAATTCGGGACTGAAATTTTAATTTCTAACCTTCAGTGGATTTGTTGCAATATGTTCTTTTTTATGCTCTCTTTATTTGATCTATTGATGTTCTGTTTCATGTTTTCTGTATAATTCTGCTTTTGAAATTATGTTCTACCAATTAATGGCTAATAGTTTTATCTGGTACTCTGAGTTTACCATCTGATTTTGTAGATGGTCTCTACTGGATCATGTTATTCGGTCAATAAGATGCCCAATAACACCAACGAGGGAGCAGGTGTGAAGGAAAAACACATAGTTGTATAGACAACTATATGTATTTCTACAAAAATCTTACAATTGAAAGCAACCTAATTGTGAATAGCTTAGTAAGACAACT